AGTTCCTTCTCTTCAATCCTATTATTTGTGCACAATGATCTCGATCACGGCCAAATTGTATATATAACAAAGAAAGTCGGATAAAAAAAGAAGAAAATTAGTACGATGGACAAGAAGATTTAGCAAAATAAGATGTATTATTTTGAAAATTTTGAGCCATATTTATTTTAATCTTAGCATAAAAAGAGAGTTGAGATAATATTTATTGAATACCATATTCTGAAATAGTTTTTATATCAAACCACAAATGATGATAATGAATGATTGTCAAAAGATGCTATCAAATGTCGTGTGTGCTCATGGTGAGGCACAGACGCCAGAACTGGTGGGGGGGGGGCTGCAGGCGTAGGGTAAGCTCCCTTTCCACTTTCAACAGGCAACATGCTGTATTGCAGTCAAAAAAGAGTAAGTGGTAGTGTTAAAAAAATGGCAATGAAAAAAGTTCAACCCCTCCCCCCCACACACACAAAATAGTGTAGTTTAGTATTTTTAAAAGAAAAATTGCCATTTGCTTTTTTCCAATGCATAACTGTGGTTTATTTAATCACAAACAGAGATGGAAATTGCATTAAATGGTTGAGACATCGGGATCGAGATGCCTTTCATATCTCGATACGGATACGGATACGTATACGGATACGGATACGTCAGATAGAACAATTTCTATTCTTAGTAAAAACAGTGAGAGAAATATGTAAAAACTTTCGTGTTTGAGTAATGATTGAGGATTTTGAGACTCAATCAATGAAAGCGCCGAATGACTGTAGGACAATCAAAAGCGCTTTTCAATACTGTTTAGCAGCACTTGCTTCGTGAGATAAACTCACTCTCAGACCAAATTTAATACGTAGCCTTTACGCTTGATCAAGTGTGAATGACTAAGTCTTATATAGTATACAAGCTTGGCATTCGTAAGCATTGCTTAAACATTTGCATAATATAAAGCAGAAAGCACAGATCTTTTTGTTAACGTTGTTCAAAGGGACATTATTTGAGTTATCGAACTTTGTGGAAAACTTGCATTATGCAAATTTTGTAACATATAATCTGTGGCAAAGGAAAATTGTATATATATGAAGTTTTTGGAGGGTGGATGGTGGGGAATGTTTCTATATCATTCACTAAAAAATAATTGTACTTGTTGAGAAACAAGAAGAATTGCAATATAATGCATTCTGCTGCAATACAATGCAACACATTGTAATGCATGGCAAAATTATCCAATGAAAATAAACTTAGTCTATTTGAGGGGAACTGAACTTTATGTATGATTGAACCTTATTATGTTTTTAAAAAAAAGTTTTTAAAGACAAACTGGATGAAATTTTTGTCACCATCCGATTGTTCTCTTTCATATGAAACTCAATTCACAATTCAGTAATTATGACGAAAGATTTTTTGACAACTTTACATATCAACATTTTTTTATCGAATGACTGGTTTGGGTTTGCATAAAACATCATAAAGAAGTGAATGCTACTCTTTGACTCAGGAGTAGTTGTCTTTTTTTTTATTAAAAGGAAATGAATATTGCTGAATTTCATACTACACGTTATTGCATCTCAATTAAATCTCGATTCACAATCCAGTAATTATGTCGAAGGACTTTTCGACAGTTTTACGTATTAAGAATTTTTTATCGAAAGCTAATTGGGTATTGGTAAAAAACCTTGAAGGAATGAACACTGCTCTTCGAGTGATGATCATTGAGTAAATGTTTTTTTTTAATTTGCAAAGGAAATAATAGTTTAGATAGAATTAAACTACACTTTATTGCACTGCACTATGTACAATGCAAAGTCAATCAAAAACATAAAGTTCAATTTTGTTGTATTTTTTTTTTAATTGAAAATAAGGTTGAAACAAATATTTTTTTTTAATAATAAGGTTTTCTTTTTTAAAGTTTGGAAATAAATGGATTAAATATTTTTATTCATATTTCTCATATGTTTGTTCCTTTAAATTGTGTGAATCTACATTAATTTAATTAACCAGTAATTATGTTTAAAGACTTTTCGACAAAGTTACGCATTGCTGATCTTTTTTTAGTCATCCGAGTAGTTTGACTATATGAAAGACTAAAAAGAAGACAGAAATGGCTTGTTTGACTGAGGAATGAAAGTTTTGAGCTATGCAGATGATCCTCAGGAAGGCTAGACGGAATATTTAGTATGATAACGGCACTAAGAGCTGAGTTCTCATCAAACAACAGCTACATATGCTGATTTTTTTTTAATCAAAAGACTGATTTTGGGTAAATGTAAAACATCCAGGGGAAAGGTTGAGTAAAGAGTGAAGATTTTGAATTGGAAGCTAATTAATTCCGCTTCTAGAGAAAGATATTGCTGCACAGCAATGCAATAAATTGCAATTGATCATGGTAATGCTTGACGTTCTGTCTATTGAAAAAATGCTAGATCCAATTCTATTTTTAGTCAAAACAGTGAGAGAAATATGTAAAAACTTTCGTGTTTGAGTAATGAGTGAGGATTTTGAGACTGTGTCAATGAAAGCGCCGAATGACTATAGAACAATCAAAGGCGCTTTCCAGAAATGTTTAGCAGCACTTGCTTAGTGTTGTAACGTGCAACGCGGCCGAGCTTGGTGTGTGGTGATATGTCTTGTATCACCGAGGCGTTACTCTTAGGTTCGTTAACCTGTTAACTCAGATTTTTGTTGACCTAATAAAATATATACAAATACAATGGGTTTCTTCTTGATTGGACAACCACTAACTGTGGTCGACGGGTGTCTCCCGCAATGAATATCTCTGGTCCTGCCACTCTAAACGTACTGCTGCATCTTGGCACTTCCCCCCACTTCTGTAGTATGCCACCTCTCTCTCCATCAGCCTACTGCCTTATACAGGTCTTACGTACTAGCTAATATTGGTGACCCCTCACTGCCTTTTCCCCGAAACTGTGTGCCTTATTCAGGTCTTATCAAAAGTTCAAGAGAATAGACAGTCAAGCCTCAACAAACTTGTCACCAGAGAGGTATCCTGAGATTCTGTAACACAACATGTGTTACCTCAGTGCAGTCAGCCCCAGTACATAGGCAGTTTCATACTACTTGTATGATCTGAGAATTAATATTTTTTAGTGTTTAAGAATTTATATAAGAACGTAGGTCTAACGTTAAAACGAAACTAAACAACAACCATTTCCGTTTCACTACTCTCCCCTCAAGATTATATGCGTCCCGAATATGATTAACTATTTACAAATTATTTACATCTGTACAAATCTTTGCAATTCATGACAAGTGTTGTCATTTCTCTAATACAAGACGTAGTCTTCATCCACTGTGGTTTTCTACTGCGTCTTTCAGGGATGTCGTCTCCTTCGGCTTCGGACAATTGTGTTTTATGTGGCCTTCCTTGTTACACTCATAAAACGCAATGGTTTGCCTCTCGCTTGTTTGTCATAGGTTTTACTGACTGGCCGATTCAGCTTCAGTTTTCGAATCTCGTTGGTTAAAGTACTCTTGTTAGCCTCCATGGACTTCATCCATGTCTCAAGATTCTTCTGGCTAACCTCAGCAGATGAGTGTTCTGGAGCAGTTACTCGTAAATGGCCTTTTCCTTCTAGGTTTCTGCTCTCTGCACGATTATAAGCCTCGAGTTCGACGGCTAGTCGGATGGCTTCATTCAGGTTTTGAGGACGAGATTGTTTTATGCGGATCCTCATCACTGAATCTACCAAGGCATCTATGAACGCATCTTTGGCCAGGGTTTCTCGCACATCACCAGGTGCTGATGCGTAGGCCAGATTGGTAAGTCGTCTAATGGCCTGACCTAACTCTGGTATTGACTCAGATGCTCTTTGCTTTCGTTCTTTTAGCTGAACACGATACAGATCTGTTTACAACAGCACAAGCCTCAAAATGTGATTTGTAGTCAAGCCAGGAACTGGTTCCGTCATACGTGGCTGGCTTGATTATATGGCCTGTCCTCGCATTGTCTGTCCCTATTGACTGCCTCCGTGGTTTTGGCGTGTCAAATAGATGGCCTGTCACAATGTCGTCAACCCCAGCACTTGGTGTGTAGCTTGGTTTGCCTTCGTCTGGAAATCTAACTTTAGGCCGTGCGCCGTACTCGTCAAATGACACATCTCCTGACATACCGGCCGGTTGTTTATCAGTACTGCGTGTCGCATATCCAGACTCTTGGCTAGCCGAATTTGTCTGACCATCGTTGCTGGTTGGCGTTCTCATCCTTTCTAAGAGCTTCTCCATCCGAGCTATAGTTTCTGACACTTTCTTGGACGAATCCATGGTCAACAAAATCCCGACGCTTGCCACCAAATAATGTAACGTGCAACGCGGCTGAGCTTGGTGTGTGGTGATATGTCTTGTATCACCGAGGCGTTACTCTTAGGTTCGTTAACCTGTTAACTCAGATTTTTGTTGACCAAATAAAATATATACAAATACAATGGGTTTCTTCTTGATTGGACAACCACTAACTGTGGTCGACGGGTGTCTCCCGCAATGAATATCTCTGGTCCTGCCACTCTAAACGTACTGCTGCATCTTGGCACTTCCCCCCACTTCTGTGGTATGCCACCTCTCTCTCCATCAGCCTACTGCCTTATACAGGTCTTAAGGTATTAGCTAATATTGGTGACCCCTCACTGCCTTTTCCCCGAAACTGTGTGCCTTATTCAGGTCTTATCACAAGTTCAAGAGAAATAAATTTCTTTTCGGTTACATTATTAATTAATGACTATTAATGATGAAAAAAAAAATGATTGGTGTTCCTGGGAGTTGAACCTGGTTCCTTTGGCGTGCAGGGCGGCGGGTATAGTGATTCGGCTATCAAGTCAGTATGTATTACTTTGGTAATTTCTATTCATCTTACGTATGCGCTTTAATAATTTAAATATCTTTTGGGGTCTATATTGCGGAACGCGGTGAACCGGTCCAAGGGTATTTAAACTCGTGTTTTGTGTTCTTTTGTCATTCGACAAGTTAGCCACGACGTATAGTTAGATACACAGATGAATCTGTCCGATTCAGATAGTGAGCCATCTCCACGTGGTAGCCCGGGGAAAAGTGTTCCTCACGAGCCAAAAAGACGTCCGTCTAACAACAATGAGGCTAGCCGCAACCCTTCGCAAACTTTGAATGAAGACCTTACTAACGCAGAGGCATTCCATTTGTTTTCCCGCAAGTTAGACGTAGCTTTAGCAGAGAACAAAAAGCTGCTTTTGAAGGAGTTAGAAGCAAAAAATTCAACTTGTGTATCCAGAGAAAGTTCGGTTGATTTCAAGTTGGATCATCACAAAGAAAGGTACAACTTCTTAACAGATTTACAAAGTGACTTTGAAAGTATTGATAAATTTATTGACTTTGGTGATAGTTTGAATGCTAAAGAGATAATCAAAAAAGCTGTTCTTCGTATTAACGACCAGAAAAAAGTTATAAGAATTGCAGATAAGTACGGCTGGGATGTGGCTAAAGAGTACAAAGATGACCCAATCACGGAGAGTACAGAGGAAAGTCAACGACTCCGGCAAGCAGAAGCCAGGGCTAAAAGGAAAAGGTTTGACAAGAGAAATTATAATAATCCTTTTCGTACAGATAGCAGCAAATTTTTCCAGCAAAGATTTACTCCTTACACCAGGCAGTTTAGTTCATACGGGAACTTCGGAGGATCACAACCAAGCCCATACAGAATTCAACCAGACCAATGCCTGTATTGCAATGGGTTCGGGCATTGGAGTGTCAACTGTCCCCTCAAGAAAAAGAGCCAACCTTTCGCGATCGGCAAGCCAACTTCAACACAAACCGGACCCTCCACAGATAACCAAAGAACCTAAACTGGTAAAAGATATTTTGTCTTGTGAAAAAGAAAATGTTAGTTTACAAACGGTTAAAGGGAGATTAGTAAAAAACATTTCTTTTTGGAAAGAACAATTGCATGCTGAACAATATATAGTTGACACTATTCAGTATGGTTATAGTATTCCTTTTGATTGTTTTCCAGAGACGATTATTTTGCATAACAATAAGTCTTCTCTTGATCATGAGGAATTTGTAGACAACGAAATAAGAAGTTTGTTAGGCAATAAAGTCATTGTAAGGTGTAGTACTGTTCCTTCTATAGTTAATCCTTTGTCAGTTTCTATAAATTCTCATGGCAAGAAAAGACTTATTTTGGATCTTAGACATGTTAACAAATGCGTACGAAAAAATAAATTTAAGTTAGAGGGTGTTAGCAGCGCTATCAAACTTTGCAAGAAAAATGACTTTATGTTCAAGTTTGATCTCAAGAGCGGTTATCATCATTTGGACATAAATCCATTGCATTTTCAATTTTTGAGTTTTTGTTGGAAAAGTACCTATTATTCTTTCTCGGTACTTCCTTTTGGTTTGAGCTCTGCTCCTTTTATTTTTACACAGCTGCTCAAGCCTTTGTTGAAATATTGGAGAGCAAAAGGTCATAAAATTGTTGTTTATTTAGATGACGGATTTGGGTTAGCAAACGATCTAGAATCATGTAAAGTTATGTCTTCAGCTATAAAAGCAGACTTAATTTCAGCAGGTTTTTTGATTAACGAGGATAAGAGTATTTGGACTCCCTGTCAATCAATGGAATGGTTGGGGTTTTCTTGGGATACTGTACATGGTATGCTTTTCATACCTCGATCTAAAATTGATAAATTATTAGGCAAAATCAGGGAAGTTATTTCTTCTGAGAAAATTACTCCACGTGTTCTAGCTAGCATAGCTGGAAACATAATTTCTTTCCAGCAATCCTTAGGAAATGTATGTTCTATTATGACAAGAGTTATGCATATGGTTATTGCCAATTCAGTTTCTTGGGATCATTGTATTGTTCTTTCAGATGAAATTGTGACTGAACTTAATTTCTGGTTGCGCAATTTACAATGTTTGCCATCTAAATGTTTTCTTAAAGGCAGTTTCATTCCTCAAAGGATCATTTTTACGGATGCAAGCAAGTATGCAGCGGCTGGTTACATTGTGGAACTCGCAGATAGTGTAGTGCATAAAATGTGGACTTCTGTGGAAGCTCTAAAGAGTTCTACCTGGAGGGAGATGAAAGCAGTAGAGACAACTTTAATATCTTCTACAGATAAGATTAGCAACAGAACTGTAAAACTTTATACTGACAATCAAAATGTAGTTAAGATAGTTAATTCTGGTAGCATGAAAAAAGAGCTCCATGATATTGCACTTAATATTTATGCTTTTTGTATTCGGAATCAAGTAACATTAGAAGTTGAGTGGATTCCTAGAGAGGAAAATAGTGTAGCAGATTGTTATAGCAAAGTTTATGATTTTGATGACTGGTCTGTTTCTGATATTATATTTCAATTTTTCAGTAAAAAATGGGGGCCCTATGATGTAGATCTTTTTGCAGATTGTAACAATTTCAAGGTAAAAAAGTTTTTTAGTAAATTCTGGACTCCAGGGAGTTCTGGGGTCGATGCATTTGGTTTCAATTGGAAAAAATTTAACTCTTGGATTGTTCCTCCAGTTTCTCTGATTCCAGATGTAATTAATCATTTAGGTTTGTGTAAAGCGCATGGTACACTTGTTGTGCCAAAATGGACATCCTCACTTTTTTGGTCCATGTTGGTAAATTCAGATGGAAAATTCAAAAATTTTGTGATTGACTATATTGAATATGACAAACCAAGAAATTTTTTCATTGCAGGATCTTACAAAGAAAGTGTTTTCGCTGGAGTAAAATTTTTCTCCAATGTAATAGTACTCCTTGTTAATTTTGATATTTAGACTTTTTCAGGTGCATTTGTGTTATGACATTTAGATGGAATTCTGACTGGGAGTCAGAACTGAGACTTTGCATTGTAAGGCTGAGTATTTGATTTGTGTTATGACAGGCTGAGAGCCTAATATTTGTAAGGATTGGCTGAGAGCCCATGTGTATGATTGGCTGAGAGCCTTTGTGTATGATTGGCTGAGAGCCGGATATTTGTATTTATTGGCTGAGAGCCTTATTTGTGTATTTATTGGCTGAGAGTCAGAATTTAGTTGTTTAGCAGGCTGAGAGCCTGATGAATGATTTCAATGGATGGAGAACCAAAATTAAATTTAACTTCATGTTTAGTTAAGGCTTAGTTAAGCCAGGATTTAAAAGTTTCTGCAATTGCTTACTATTTAAATTCAACTGTTTCTTAAAATATTAAAGCTTTATATGTTAACGTTTTGTTTGTTTATGATTTCAGTCCTTCAACCATTCACATTGGGCAGAATTGAGAACTCATGAAGAGGGGGACATTGCTAAGCTGGCTGGGAATATACCGGATTTAATTGAGGCTTCAAAATCAGAGTCCACTTTACGTAAATACAAGACATATTTTTCTAAATTCGATCATTGGTGTTCATTACACAAATTATCTTCTTTACCAGGATCACCTGCAACAGTGTCTCTCTTCATTTCTCATCTTGTTCAGAGTAAATCAACATCTTCAGTGTTAACCTCTCATTTTTACGCTGTGCAATGGTATCATGAGAAAAATTTGTTTCCGAATCCTTGTTCTGACAAACTTGTGAAAATGACTTTTGAGGGAGCGTTGCGCACTCTTACAAAATCTTCAGTGAACAAGAAACAACCGATTACATCTAATATTATTTCCAAAGTCTTTAATTTAAGAAGTAACTTGTCAGATTTATCTGATTTGCGTACTAGATTACTCTTTGTTCTTGGATATGCAGGATTTTTCAGGGCCAGAGAGCTGTGCAACATCAAGAGATCGGATATTACTTTTTGTGATACTCACGTGGAAATTGAACTTAGAAGCTCGAAGACAGACATATACAGAAGGGGTAACATTGTGCACATTGCAAAACTCAACTCTGATTTGTGTCCCGTTCAATGTCTTATTGATTATCTTAAATTAGCTGGTGTTCAAAACGATTCTAATGAATTTATATTTAGGTCATTAAGATATTTCAACAGATGTAATTCTTATAGGCTTGCAAAAAGTAACAAAGCTATTTCTTATACTTGTGTCAGAGAACTTATTTTGAAGGCATTGAAAGATGTTGGAGAGGACGCTTCAAAGTTTGGTGTGCACTCACTTAGATCCGGAGGTGCTTCAGCCGCAGCCAATCTAGATATTCCCGATAGACTCTTTAAGGCTCATGGACGGTGGAAAAGTGAAACGGCAAAGGACGGTTATATTAAGGATAGTACAGAAAAGGTTCTATTTGTGTCAAAAAATTTGGGATTGTAATTAAATAAATTTTTCTTTTCATTTTTCCTCAGACGTTTTTTATTCGAATTTTGGCTAACATTGTCACCTCCTCTATTTTTGTGTTTGAGTTTTTGTTTATGTAAAGAGAATATGAAATACTTTATGTTCGTCTGAGCGAAGCGAAAGAGAACATAAATAAATTTCTTTTCGGTTACATTATTAATTAATGACTATTAATGATGAAAAAAAAAATGATTGGTGTTCCTGGGAGTTGAACCTGGTTCCTTTGGCGTGCAGGGCGGCGGGTATAGTGATTCGGCTATCAAGTCAGTATGTATTACTTTGGTAATTTCTATTCATCTTACGTATGCGCTTTAATAATTTAAATATCTTTTGGGGTCTATATTGCGGAACGCGGTGAACCGGTCCAAGGGTATTTAAACTCGTGTTTTGTGTTCTTTTGTCATTCGACAAGTTAGCCACGACGTATCAGTTTTCCAAACTTTTTTTTTTTACTTTTATTTAATGAAATAGAATTCTTTTGCAGATTGATGCTTAGTTTCTTTGAAGTAGATTCCATTCCTTGTGTGGAGATGCATGTCGCAGTTTGCCTGGACCAATCCTATGTTACCTTGGTGTTTTATCCTCCTTCCCGGGCTGTATGGACGCACTTAAGGACGCGTTTACATTTGTACAAATCAGTTTATTAAATTTTGGCTAACATTGTCACCTCCTCTATTTTTGTGTTTGAGTTTTTGTTTATGTAAAGAGAATATGAAATACTTTATGTTCGTCTGAGCGAAGCGAAAGAGAACATAATAGACAGTCAAGCCTCAACAAGCTTGTCACCAGAGAGGTATCCTGAGATCCTGTAACACAGCATGTGTTACCTCAGTGCAGTCAGTCCAATACAAAGGCAGTTACATATTACTTGTATGATCTGAGAATTAATATTTTTTAGTGTTTAAGAATTTATATAAGAACGTAGGTCTAACGTTAAAACGAAACTAAACAACAACCATTTCCGTTTCAGTGTGATAAACTCACTCTCAGAACAAATTTAACACGTAGCATTTACGCTTGATCAATTATGAATGACTAAGTCTTATATAGTATACAAGCTTGGCATTCGTAAGCATTGCTTAAACATTTGCATAATATAAAGCAGAAAGCAAAGATCGTTTTGTTAACGTTGTTCAAAGGGACATTATTTGAGTTATCGAACTTTGTGGAAAACTTGCATTATGCAAATTTTGTAACATATAATCAATGGCAAGGGAAAATTGTATATATAAGAAGTTTTTGGAGGATGGTTGGTGGGGAATGTTTCTATATCATTCACTACAAAAATAATTGCACTTGTTGAGAAACAAGCATCTCAACAATTGCACCAAACCGCATTTTGCTGCAATACAATGCAACACATTGTATTGAACGGCAAAATTATCCAATAAAAGTAAACTTATTCAATTTGGGGGGAACTGAACTTTATGTATGATTGAACTTTTTCATGTTTTAAAAAACAGTTTTTAAAGACAGAGTGGATAAAATTTTGATCACATTTTGTTAACATCCGATTGTTCTCTTTCATGAGAATCTCAATTCACAATTCAGTAAATATGACGAAAGACTTTTTGACAACTTTACTTATCAACAATTCTTTTTATCGAATGACTGGTTTGGGTTTGCATAAAACATCATGAAGAAATGAACGCTTCTCTTTGACTCAGGAGTTGTTTTCTTTTTATTTACAAGGGAATTACTATTGCTGAATTTCATAAGACTTAAACTACACTTTATTGCATCTCAATTCACAATCCAGTAATTGTGACTAAAGATATTTTGACAAGTTTACATACTAGTATTAACATTTTTTTTTTATCAAACGACTGGTTCGGGTATGCATAAAACATCATGAAGAAATGAACACTTTTCTTTGATTGAAGAATAGCTTTTTTTATTTGCAAGAAAATTAATACCCGATATTGCTGAATTTCATAAGATGTAAACTACACTTTATTCCATCTAAATTAAATCTCAGTTCACAATCCAGTAATTATGTCGAAGGACTTTTGGACAGCTTTATATTAAGAATTTTTTATCGAAAACTAGTTGGGTATTGGTAACACACCCTGAATAAATGAACACTGCTCTTCGAGTGATAATCATTGAGTAAATGTTTTTCTAATTTGCAAGGGAATTAATAGTTTAGATAGAATTAAACTACACTTTATTGCACTGCACTATGTACAATGCAAAGTCAATCAAAAACATAAAGTTCAATTTTGCTGTAATTTTTTTAAAATTGAAAATAAGGTTGAAACTAATATTTTTTTCTAATTAAATTTTCTTTTTTAAAGTTTGGAAAACCGACGGATTAAATATTTTTATTCAAATTTTCTCATATGTTTGTTTCTTTAAATTATGTGAATCTACATTAATTTAATTAACCAGTAATTATGTTTAAAGGCTTTTCGACAAAGTTACACATTGCTGATTTTTTTTAGTCATCCGAGTAATTTGACTATATGAAAGACTAAAGAGAAAACAGAAATGGCTTGTGTTACTGAGGAACGAAAGTTTTGAGCTATGCAGATGATCCTCAGGAAGGCTAGACCATGTAGACGGAATATTTATTATGATAACGGCACTAAGAGCTGAGTTCTCATCAAACAACAGCTACATATGCTGATTTTTTTTTTAATCAAAAGACTGATTTTGGGTAAATGTAAAACATCCAGGGGAAAGGTTGAGTAAAGAGTGAAGATTTTGTTTTGAATTGCAAGCTAATTAATTCCGCTTTTAGAGAAAGATATTGCTGCACTGCAATGCAATGAATTGCAATTGATCATGGTAATGCTTGACGTACTGTCTATTGAAAAATACTAGGTCTAATTCTATATTTAGTCAAAACAGTGAGAGAAATATGTAAAAACTTTCGTGTTTGAGTAATGAGTGAGGATTTTGAGACTCAATCAAAGAAAGCGCCGAATGACTGTAGAACAATCAAAGGCGCTTTTCAGTACTGTTTAGCAGCACTTGCTTAGTGAGATAAACTCACTCTCAGACCAAATTTAACACGTAGCATTTACGCTTGATCAATTGTGAATGACTAAGTCTTATATAGTATACAAGCTTGGAATTCGTAAGCATTGCTTAAACATTTGCATAATATTAAGCAGAAAGCAAAGATCGTTTTGTTAACGTTGTTCAAAGGGACATTATTTGAGTTATCGAACTTTGTGGAAAACTTGCATTATGCAAATTTTGTAACATATAATCAATGGCAAGGGAAAATTGTATATATAAGAAGTTTTTGGAGGGTGGATGGTGGGGAATGTTTTTATACCACTGACTACAAAAATAATTGTACTTGTTGAGAAACAAGCATCTCAACAATTGCACTAAACCGCATTTTGCTGCAATACAGTGCAACACATTATACTTAATGGCAAAATTATCCAATAAAAATAAACTTAGTCAATTTGGGGGGGAACTGAACTTTATGTATAATTAAACTTTTTCATGTTTTAAAAAATAGTTTTTAAAGACAGACTGGATGAAAATATTATCACATTTTGTTGAATTAAATTGAACATATTTTATTGACAATTAAAGCCAAAAGGATAAGACACAAGTTTTAACAACTTAGATATTCTTCTCCTTATACAAAATTTCATAAAATTGCCAAAATAAAGAACAATAATTTTTAGTAACAAATCAATTATGGTTTCCGTGATGGAGCTCTTGAGTGGATCGAGTCTTACCTCAAGAACAGAAAACAATGTGTCACAATTGGATGTCCGATCAAGTCTAGACAGCTGCCTTTTGGTGTCCCCCAAGGATCTGTACTCGGACAAATTTATTGCCTCTTCTCCAAACCCATTGGAATCATATGCCACCGACATGGAATGATATATCACTGCTATGCAGATGATACACAAATCTACATGATCATAAGACCACTGGAAAATTGGAACAATTATTTCTCTCGACTTGAAGCGTGTCTTAGTGAAATTGGTTCATGGATGACATCAAACCTACTCAAACTAAACCAAGAAAAGACCGAGCTAATAATCTTCACCACAAAGCAACACCAGAAATATCTGCCAACATTACAACTAAAAGTTGGTGATAATATCATTGAGAG